GCGCGGCGCGGCCCGGCTGGGAGTATGCGGTGCGGGTGGCGAGGCCGGGGTGGGAAGTCGAGGCTGTCGGGGATCCGGGTCCTGGAGGAGACCGCGCGTCCAGGACCGCTCTGCCCCGCGCTCCCCTTCCCCGGCGCAGGGGTTTCAGTGCCCCGGAGCCGCCGAGGCGCGCGGGGGAGGCGCTGCGGCCGTTTCGAGCTGGGGTATGGGTGACTGGTGTTCAGGGCAAGGGGAGGCTGACCGTTTGCGGGAGGGCCCCCCTGCCCTCGCCCCAGCTCTTCGGAAGGAAAGGAGGGTGGTGTCAGCCCTTCACCTTCTGGGGCCTGCAGCAGGGTGGGCGGGCCGGGCTCCATTTCGAGAAGCCCCAGGGATCGACTGCAAAGCGCAGAGTGGAATGAGGGGTAGGAGACCTTTCTCGTTCGGTCCTGTCCCTTGCCAGAACCACTCTGAGCCATGTGCCCTGCCGGGGGTCGCATAATCAGAGCTGGAGAGGAGCCTTTTGCAGCCCTTAGGGGTAGCCAGCATTAGGGAAGGGAGAAAAGGGCAGGCCCTGAGGAGGCTCCCCTACATCTGGAAAGGCCTGGAATCGAGGCCCCGGCTCAGCATGGTGGGCGGTGCTGACACTCTGGGCCCCGCCTGTCTTCTGCTGTGAACTTTCTGAAATGGTTTTTAAATCTTTGGAGCCTCTTTTTGCCAATGAAGGCAGGGGCCAATGGCCCCTGGGGACAGGATGGAGAAGAAGTGGCTGAGCAGAGGGTTGGGCGAAGCAGCGGGCAAAGACATCCCTGGGGCTGGGCCTTGGCCTTCTCCAGGCCCTGGGTGCAGGCCGAAGAATCCCGAAAGATCAGGGATTGGGAGGGACTCAAGGTCCTGGAGGCCTACGGCCTGGGACCGGATGGAACAGGGCTCCTGCTGTGGACTGGTGGTGCCTGGAATAGCAGATCCATGAGAGAGAGAGCAAGGGCCCAGGACTCAGGGGAGGAAGAGGTCAGAGGCGCAAGGCCCAGCAGCCCAGCTGTGGCAGGGAAGTAAGTGGGCCCACTCCTGGGGCTCAAGGTGAGGGTTTCTGGACAGGAGTGCAGGGTCCTTGCATAATGGTCAGGGTGGGCAGCCCTGGAATGAGGTCCAGGGTGGCCTGGCTGCAGGTGGTTGGACAGTGACAGAGCTCTGGAGCTGCCCCCGCAGGACACCCCTTCTTCTGGGGCTTTGAGCCAGATGCTAGGGTATGCTTCCAGGGAGCTGGGAATGTGGCCAGAATCAGGACCTTTGGGAACAGTGGTCTAGGTTAGTAGTGGGGAGAGCAGAAACAAGGCAGGGACTACCATCGGGAGGAGACTGAGGCAGAATGTCAGGGAGGAATGGCCCAAACCCGTCCCTGTCAGGTCTGGAGAAGGACAGCTGCAACTGACTTACTGGAGCAATGTGTGTTCTTGTTGGTAATTCTTGTGTCCCCATCTCTTGAGAGTGGCAGGGCTCTGAGTTCAGAGTAATGTAGGCTGTAGAGAGGAACTAATATTCATTGTGTGCTACATGACAGGTGATGTTAAATTTTTTTTCCTGAAAAAAGTTGTTATTCCCATTTTATGGAAGAAACTGATGCAGAAAGGTTCAGTAACTTGTGCGGGGCAGTGTACCTGGGAAGTGATGATGCTAAGGTTTGAAGCCTGGTCTCATGCCAAAGGTCATGCTTCTAATGAAGTATTTGAAGAGCCAGGCTTTCTCTGGTGACCTTTTCCAAATGCCAGCCTGACCAGAGTCTTGCACTCCTGATCGGTCTTTCCAGATGGTGCCATTAGCGCTTGAGAGTTTGTAGGGTGTGCAGCTTTGTGGGGTGTCAGAGGGAGCTGATCGGAGTGGACTGAGAGCTGGGGTGTGTGTAGGGAAGTGCCCAGCTGCCTTCTTCTTGGCAGGTCCCTGAGTGTCTCCTGGAGTGCTGCTTGTCTGTCCTGGCATCTGTGGCCTCCTGGGGCAGTCTCTGGGTGCGCTTCCCTGGAGCACCCTGGGAAGTACACAGGTCAGGGCTGCTAGCTCAGCAGGTCTGCGTGCTGGGCCCCTGGGGTGCCCCGTGGGCAGGCGGCAGTGTCACTGAGGGGCTGTGGGCCTCTGTGGGAGACAGTGCTTTTGCGCTGGTCTCCTGCGTGTCAGGGCTCCTCACATCACAGTTCTTGGCTTGTCCCTCCAGGAAACCTGGGAGCTGAGCATGATTCGGTCACCCAGGACTTCTGTAACTGGGGTCAACCATATAAAACTGTCATGGGCCCTGGATTTTGTTTTGTTTTGTTTTGTTTTTGCAAATTGCTCTTTTATCCTACATTGACACAGGAATAGCTTCACAGGATTTTGATGAAGGTCTAGATTGATTTAGGCATACAAAAAGACCTTGAAGCCAGGCACAGCGGTGCATGCCCATGATCCGGGCACTTGGGAGGCTGAGACAGGATCACCTGGGCTACATCGTGAGTTTAAGATCAGCCTAAATTACATAAGGAGACCCTGTCTCAAAAAACAACCTCTCCCCAAAAAACCTTGAAAAGTTTAAAAGACAGATAAAATACATAAGCATATCCATTGAGCAGCCATCCATGTGCTCAGCAGATTTTTGGATCCTACAAGGTATTGTAGATTCTTTTTTTTTAAATTTTATTTATTTGTGTGTGTGGCCAGCTCAGCCCACCAGGGGGCGGGGCTGGCTGGCATGTGGTGCTGGGGGATTGAACCGCGGTTCCGAAGCTTGTTCTAAGTGGGTGCTTTAGACCACTGAGCCATCTCTCCAGCCCCAGTATTGTAGATTCTATAGGCAACAAAAAGCCACAAATTCCTGCCTCCCTGAAGTTAACATTTGAATTAGGAGAGACAGTGAACAAATAAGAGAAATGTGTGGAGAGGAAGCTTGGGTAAGGGCTGTGGAGAAAGAAAGTGTGAAGCTGGAAAGAGATAGGGAGAGAAGCCCCAGGAAGGAGGGTTGCTATTTTAACCAGTGGTCAGAGGACGCTCTGATAAGGGGACATTTGGGCAGTGACCCGAGGAGCTCTTACTCCGGGCCCTAAAGTGGCAAGTGCCAGGGGCCCAGCTTGGCCTGAGGTGGTTTGCTGGGAACAGCAGAGGCTGATGTGATCAGAAGAAAGGAAGACCAGGTAGCCATGTTAGTGACCATTTCACTCCAGTCGCCCCGCCCGTGCCCTAAAGCTGGCTTGGTTCCCATGTTTTCAGCTTGAATTTACTGAGTTCCTACTGTAAGCTGTGCCCAGGCTATGGCTCCAGAGAGAAGACACTGAACAAATCCCTCCTTCACAAAGCTTAGAAGAAAGGCAGACACAGGGACCAGGGTCTGATCCCGTTTGCCATGCCTACCCCCTCTCCCCCGGGGGGTGCTGAGACAGTGAGACTGGGCTTGATGTTGCTCCTGTAATCCCAGCGCTTGGGAGGCTGAAAACAGGAGGATGACTATGGTTCGATCTGTGTAGTGAGATCCTGTGGACCCTGTACTAAACACACTAAAAGAAAAAAATGCTTAGAAGAGGGACAGAGATACACACTAAACCAGGAGCAGTTTAATTTTAATTACAATGAGTGCTGGGAAGGAAATGTACAAAGGTAAATGGCACCAAACCTAGTCTGGGCCAGGGCTAGGAATCATCCCTGAGGAAGTGACACTTCAGCTGGGACCTGTGTGAGAAGTTGACTTTAGCTTAATGGAGTGTGCAGTGTGTGTGTGTGTGTGTGTGTGTGTGCGTGTGTGCGTGCGTGCATGCACGCGCGTGTGTGTTGAGAAAGGATGTGGAAAGAGATTCTCCTTTGTATAGAGGTCTCTGATTGGCAGCTCATAGGTTGAACTCATTCCACAGACGTGATTTATTTGGCTTACAATGTAGAAAAATGTGGATTAGTTGCCAACATTTAAAAATCAGGAAAGGGCCAGGGAGATAGCTCAGGAGCATAAGTGCCTGCCAGGCAAGCTCAAAGTGCTGAGTTCATACCCTGGTACCAAAAAATAAAATAAAATAAAAAATCAGGAGATGTAACATTGAAATCTAGCAGTATTTTAAAAAAATTATTTATTTATTTGTGTGTGTGTGTGTGTGTGTGTGTGTGGCCAGCTCAGCCCACCAGGGGGCAGGGCTGGCTGGCATGTGGTGCTGGGGGATTGAACCCCGGTCCCTGTGCTTTGCTAAGCTTGTTCTAAGTAGGTGCCCTAGACCACTGAGCCATCTCACCAGCCCGAGCAGTATTTTTTTTCTTTTTCTTTTTCTTTTTTCTTTTTCTTTAGCTTCCGTGGAAAACTCAGAAGCCCAGGCTTGGCCAGACACCAGTAGTAACCATGCTGGTGCTGGTGCTGGTGCTGTTCCCGTTCCCATCCAGTGCGGGTGTGGACTCTTCCTCTCTGCTCCCCCAGCAGGGCTGCTTCATTTCTTGACATAGGGACTTAAGTTTGTCACCACTGAGAAATCGGTGCCATTAGGGAAGAAGGGCTTGTTTCATGTGCTGGCATTGGCCGCAGGTAAATCTGGCCTAGGATCTTGGTTCTCTCACCTATGCTGTTGCTGGATCTCTTTCTTTCTTTCTTTCTTTCTTTCTTTCTTTCTTTCTTTCTTTCTTTCTTTCTTTCTTTCTTTTGTGGCCGGCTTAGCCCGCCCTGGTACCAGGGATCAAACTCCCATCCCTGAGCTTGCCTAAACTTGCCTAAGCAGGCACTTTAGACCACTGAGCCATCATGCCGGGCCCCGTTCCTGGATCTTGAGTAGGCTTCTCTCTCTCTCTCTCTCTCTCTCTCTCTCTCTCTCTCTCTCTCTCTCTTTCTCTTTGGGTTCTTCGCCTGTGGAATGGGGAGGCCGAGATGTTTTATAAGGATACTGGATGAAGCCCTTGGCCCAGCTGTGGAAGTGCCCAGATAGAGTCACTGCTGGTGGCAGTAGCCCCAGTGGTGGTGTTGATACTGTCTCTTACCTTTTCTCCCTGCAGCATGTCATGGTTTAGTGGCCTCCTGGTCCCCAAAGTGGATGAACGAAAAACAGCCTGGGGAGAGCGCAATGGACAGAAGCGCCCACGTCGGGGGCCCCGGGCCAGTGGCCTCTGCGCGCCGCGCTACATGAGCTGCCTGCAGGGTCCAGAGCCAGCCAGCCCCAGCCCTGCAGCTCCTGCCCGGTGCCCCTGGCAGGATGAAGCCTTCATCCGGAGGGCCGGGCCAGGCAAGGGCAGGGAGCTGGGGCTGCGGGCCGTGGCCCTGGGCTTCGAGGACACTGAGGTGCCTCTCGCAGCGGCACCCGACGTCGCACGCAGGAGTGGCTGGTCGTGCCGGCGCCGCCTGGCACGGGTGTTCCAGTCAAAGCAGTTCCGCTCGGCCAAGCTGGAGCGCCTGTATCAGCGCTACTTCTTCCAGATGAACCAGAGCAGCCTGACGCTCCTGATGGCAGCGCTCCTGCTGCTTGTGCTGGTGCTGCTGGCCTTCCACACGGCGCCGGCCAGTCCGCAGCCTGCCTATGTGGCCCTGCTGGCCTGTGCCGCCACCCTGTTTGTGGCCCTCATGGTGGTGTGCAACCGACACAGCTTTCGCCAGGACTCCATGTGGGTGGTGAGCTACGTGGTGCTGGGCATCCTGGCAGCTGTGCAGGTCGGGGGCGCCCTGGCAGCCCACCCGCGCAGCCCCTCAGTGGGCCTCTGGTGCCCCGTGTTCTTCGTGTACATCACCTACACGCTCCTGCCCATCCGCATGCGGGCCGCCGTGCTTAGCGGCCTGGGCCTCTCCACCCTACATTTGGTCCTGGCCTGGCAACTCAGCCGAGGCGACACTTTCCTCTGGAAGCAGGTGGGTGCAGAGGGCGTTGGCGCAGGAGAGGAAGGGGCTTGGCGAGTCGGGGCGGAGCTGTGGGTGCACCCAGGTGCAGGCTGTGCTTGGAAGGTCAGGTTTCCAAGGTTGCCCCCATGTTGGGTCTGGGTGTAGGACGCTGGGGGAGGGTGACCCAGGACCACTCAGGGTGGGCGGAGAGGGCTGAGGGCAGCTGAGAAGGCAGGCTTCCCTGTGCCAGGTTGACCCATGAGGTAAGGCCCTGGTGTTGTCCCTGAGGCCAGCTCTAGGTGGTGGTTTGGGGGATGAGCAGGTTTTGGGTGTAGTTGGCAAGGGAAGAGTCACCTTCTCCTGACCAGCACCATTCTGAGGGGACAGGGCAGGTGGGAGATGGGCTCAGTTCTCTCTTGGGCTAGGGGTAGCATGAATGTGGTTGGGCTCTAGAAGAGAGGGGTGCTGGCCGCTGATGTTGTCCCGCCCTTGCACATGGTGCCCCCAGCCTGGCAGCCTGCCCTGAGCTGCTCTGCTGGCACTGGAGGATCCTTGGGGTCAAGTGTGGGTTTGGGGGAGCTCTGTTATTCCCTGTAGAGTGAGAATAAGGACTCTGCTGCTGGCTGCTCTGTGGGCTGCCCTCTGCTCTGTGTGATCTTAGCCTATTGACCTCGCCTCTCCTGACCCAAATGTCCCGGGTCTGTAAAACGAAATACAAATACCGTCTCCTGCTGAGGGTTGCCCTTGGCACACCCCTTCCCAAATGGAGTAGGACCCACTGGGTGGGAACAGGCTGTTCCCTGGGAGGGGAGCTGTGGGGAATGCTGCAGGGGCCTTCTGGGGACCCGCTTGTGGGGCCTGTCTTCACAGGTCACCCGTGCCTAGGGCATAAAGTAAGGCTGCGGTAGACACAGCTTCCTCCTCAGCACCAGCTCTGTGCTGTGCTCCGCCTGGCTGCCTGAAGAGGAAGCCTCTGCCTTGCCAAGGGCTGTGCCCTGTAGCCCACCCTGGCCCACCCATGGGGAGGAAGTTGCCTGGAGCTGTGGGGTGAGAGCTGGGTGCCTTGGCATGAGGCCCTTGCATGCCCAGCCTGTTCTCCAGAACAGACCGTACCTTTTCAAAAGTAACTTCATAGCCCGTTTGTTTGTGGAGCACGTGCCCAAAGGGACCTCTTAAGGGGCTGGGTCCGTCTACCCTTGCTGGTCCCCCGGCTTCCCTCCCAGCTTATTGTCACACTGCTGGGGGTGAGGGAGCTCAGGGATGTTGCCTCTGGCTCCTTGTGGTGGCAGGTTTCTTCCCTGCTCCCAGCTGGCATGGTTCCCAGAGCTAGACTGGCCCCTGAGTGGGGAGGCCCAACCTCAGCGAGGCCAGGGCTCCTAGCCTGCCGCCTCCTGGGGTGCCTGGCGATAGCCTCATCCCTGCTGGCCGATGCCAACACGTTCTTGGGGTGGTGCAGAGCATCGTGCTCCCCCTGTGCCCATCTGAGGGAGCAGGGCTGCTCACACAGCCTCCTGGGAGCTGGGAACAGCTCTCTGCCCCTTTGGGCTCAGGAGTTTCTGGATGGGGCTGCGTTGAGCCCGTCTCCATCCCTGCTCGTGCTTGCAGTAGGAGCACACCCAGTGAGCAGGAGCACACCCAGCGAGCGGTTCCACCGTGACCCTGGCAGCCTAGTCACCTCAGGTGGCCTGGCACCTCCTGCAGGCGGCTGGGATGTGCAGTCTTTCAGCCTCTCAGCCCCTTCCCCTTTCCTCTACTGTGACTCACATTTTCCTCTAGGGCTCCTGGGGCCAGGAAGGGAAGTTGCCTGCTTCACTCCCCCTTTCCTCTGCCCCACTGGGAACTATTCTTAGCATCCCCAGAGGGAGAGCGTGTGCCCCCTCTTCACCCCTGCCGCTGGGAGCAGCTCAGCTTGGTGGTTTGATCCGTGGTGTGCTGGTCTGGGAAGAGAAGCTCGGAGGCTGCCCTCTGATCAGAGCTAGAAGTGCCGAGGGCTTAGCCACAGCAACCCCTCAATTTTCCACAGAGGAAACTGAGGTCCCAGCGATCAGGGCCTTGTCTAAATCTGCAGGGCACTTCTGTTCAGGGAAGCTGTGCGCCTGCTCTGCCCCAGCCGGGTGGAGTCAGGTTAACGCTGCCTTTCCAGGGCCACTGAGGCCAGCTCCCTTGGGAGCTGCTGAGGGTGCGGAGGAGCCAGTGTGGGCCCCACTCCGCAGGGCTGGGCCGCGCCAGGGCCGCTCCTCCTCCCCATGGTGGGGGCTCCGTTAGTAGAATGGATGGTTCCCACCTGAGCTCTGAGGCTGACCCTAAAGTGCTAGAGTTGGGGGTGTTAAGAGGATGCTTAGAGACCTGTACTCGAAAATGGGATTAGAACACAGACTTCGCAGTCTGAGTATCCTGGACTCAAATCCTATGCTGGCCACACCAGCTGTGCAATCTTAGGCCGTTTACTGAGCTGCTTTCTTTTGAGACAGGGTCTCACTATGTTGTTCAAGCTGACCTTGAACTCACTGTGTAGCCCAGGGTGGCCTGAAGGTCTCCAGCATAAGTCTCGAGTGCTGGGATTACAGGTGTGCACTCCCCCAAGCTAGTCCCTCACCTTCAAAATGAGATGCTGTTACCTGATTCATAGTGTTTTAAAAATTACATTAGAAAGTGTATATAACGTATAGAAAGTGTCCATCGAATCCTGGTACATTGCAGGGAGCCAACAAACTAGCTATGGTGGGAATAATAGTAACGGTCATTGTTGTTGTTGTTGTTATTACTATTTTGGCAGAACTGGGGATTGAACTCAGGCCCTTGCACTTGCCAGGCAAGCGCTTATTCTACTGAGCCACCTCCCCGGCCCCAGTAATGGTCATTATTGTTATTCGGTTTTCAGGGCAGGAAATTTTATTTCCTCTTTTGATATTTTATTTCCTGTTTGAGTTACAGATGAGCAAACAGGCCCAACAGAGAGATGAGCTGATTTGTCCTGGGTCACCCACAGGAGGACAAAGAGCTCAGGTCTCCTGGGTGCTGTCCTGTAAGGAGAACCACCTGGGGAGGGAGCCTTTTGTTTAGGTGTTTCTGAGGCAGGAGATCAGAGGGTGCTGGGGCTGGGTGTACCTGCCCTAGTTGGTGCGCCTGCTCTCCAGGACTGTGAAATACCACCTTTCTAGTCATGGAGTGATCCCAGCCAGCGGGGGCTGGGATGGGAAAGAAAGGTTGGAGGGTGGAGACACACAGGGCCCAGACCCAGGCTTCCTCCCATGGAGTGTGTCTAGACAGCGCCTTGCAAGTTGCATGCCCCGTGCATGTTGGGAAGTGGTCTCCCACCTGCCTCTGCTGCCCTCTTGCAGCTCGGTGCTAACGTGGTACTGTTCCTCTGCACCAACGTCATTGGCATCTGCACACATTACCCAGCCGAAGTATCTCAGCGCCAGGCCTTTCAAGAGACCCGCGGTTACATCCAGGCTCGGCTGCACCTGCAGCATGAAAACCGGCAGCAGGTGGGCTGCTTCCCCTGACCAGGCTGTTCCCTTTTTCTGTCCCCTCCCCCTTGCAGATAGGATCTGCTGTTGTACCCGAGTCTGTGGGACCTTGTGTGGCTGTGTAGATGCCCCTGTGACACTAGGGCTGTGCCCTGCCTGAGGAAGTAGACAGGAGTACATCAGAGGGTTGAGTCGGGACTGAGCAGGGCGCTGGGATAAGTGTCTGCTGCTGTCCCAAGGGGGAGCTCAGGCCCCAGAAAGGTCTGGGGTGCTCTGGGAGTGTGGCAGAATCTGTAAGGAGATGATAGCAGTGTCCTGCCGGAACCGCTGGTCTAGGAACGGCTGCTGCTGTCAGTGCTGCCCCAGCACGTTGCCATGGAGATGAAAGAAGACATCAACACCAAGAAGGAAGACATGATGTTCCACAAGATCTACATCCAGAAGCACGACAATGTCAGGTAGGGTGGGGCTGGGAGGACGTGGGGGGTGGGCTCAGGGCTCGGGAGTCAGGCTCCGTGGCTGCACAGCCCACCCCCCGCACTGTCCCCCACAGTATCCTGTTTGCGGACATTGAGGGCTTCACCAGCCTGGCCTCCCAGTGCACTGCGCAGGAGCTGGTCATGACATTGAATGAACTCTTTGCCCGGTTTGACAAGCTGGCTGCGGTGAGGGTGCTGGGCTTGGGGACAGTGTACCGCGTGTGGTGAGAGCGCAGCCTTGCCGTTGGCAGCTAGGGGCGTGGGGGCGTCTCAGTGAGGCTGACTGGGTGAGAAAGTGAAGGTGACCCTTTCCTCCACCTCTTCCCCTTAGGAAAATCATTGCCTGAGGATCAAGATCTTAGGGGACTGTTACTACTGTGTGTCAGGGCTGCCGGAGGCCCGGGCAGACCATGCCCACTGCTGTGTGGAGATGGGGGTGGATATGATCGAGGCCATATCGTAAGCAGTGCCCCGTCCCCAGGCTTCCTGGATTCGTGGGTGCCCCAGGCTGCTCCTACTCTGCGGGTTCGCAGGAATTTTCCTATCTTGGCTCTTTCTCCAGTCTGTGAAGAGACTCCATGTTCTGCTTTGGACTTTAGCCAGCTGGGAGGGGGCGGGGAGCCAGGGAAGTCGGGATTTGGGGCTGAAGAGATGTCAGCTCGGCAGAGCAGAGGTGAGAGTAGTGAGTCCCCCTCTCCTAGCTCAGGCCCGCCAGATGCTGCAGGACCTTGCTGACTGCACTTCCCAGGCCTTTGTGCTGAGCCCCTGCAGCCCCGTAGCACTTGCAGCTTGGACTGTGCTCCTGGCTGCTGCGTCGGCTCTGTCCATGCCTACTGACTACCTGGGCTCTGGGCTAGAGGAGGGGATGACTGTACCGGAGCTGATCCATAGCTGCACTTTTTTTCAGGCTGGTGCGTGAAGTAACAGGCGTGAACGTGAACATGCGCGTGGGCATTCACAGTGGGCGCGTGCACTGTGGCGTCCTTGGCCTGAGGAAATGGCAGTTTGATGTGTGGTCCAATGATGTGACTCTGGCCAACCACATGGAGGCGGGAGGCCGGGCCGGGTGAGTGGAGGAGTCCTGGGGTGGGCTTTGGGAACCAGCGGCGGATGAGCTGGGACCTCACCTGCTGCCCTGCACAGCCGCATCCATATCACCCGGGCCACGCTGCAGTACCTGAATGGGGACTACGAGGTCGAGCCGGGCCGTGGCGGTGAGCGGAATGCCTACCTCAAGGAGCAGCGCATCGAGACCTTCCTCATCCTGGGAGCCAGCCAGAAACGGGTCAGGGCCAGGGCCAGGGCCAGGGCCTGGCTAAGGGTTGGGGGGCGGGATGCAGGCCTGGTAAAGGGCAGAGAGGGGCACTGTCAGAGGCCTTCTCAAGACCCTCTTATGAACCTGGACCCCCATGGCCCACACAGAAAGAAGAGAAGGCCATGCTGGCCAGGCTGCAGCGGACCCGGGCCAATTCCATAGAGGGGCTGATGCCACGCTGGGTACCTGACCGAGCCTTTTCCCGGCCCAAGGATTCCAAGGCCTTTCGCCAGATGGTGAGGATTGGCACTGGGACCTGGGCCTTGATTGCTTGTCTCTGTCTCTCTCCATCCCATATCCCTCCTGCAGCTTCCACATCCATGTATGCTTTCTAATATCAGGGTCAGGAGGATCTCATCCAGGGTCCCCTGAAGTGTATGTGGTGAGGGGTCGGGGGAGACACCTGTCAGGCATTAGGGAAAGAGAATGAACTGCAGAGGGGAAGGTGGTTGAGACCTGCACTTTACTTGCACACTCTTGTCTCTTTTTAGGGCATTGATGATTCCAGCAAAGACAAGTGAGTCAGGTTCCTGAGGAGGGGCTGAGGGGGGAGAGGCGCCTGTGCCTCTGATGGGACTACGGGGGCCGAGGGCTTCACCAGCCACACTCTCGGCCTTGGAGTGTGTCGTGTGGGAGGAAAAACCATGTATAACGCCCTCCGCCACCGCTCAAGACATGGTGGGGCTCCAGCGCCCGCTGAAATGTGTTCCATCCTCAGCCGGGGTGCTCAGGACACTCTGAACCCTGAGGATGAGGTGGATGAGTTCCTGGGCCGTGCGATTGATGCGCGCAGCATCGACCAGCTGCGGAAGGACCACGTGCGCCGGTTTCTGCTCACCTTTAAGAGCGAGGATCTTGAGAAGAAGGTTTGGGGGATGGAGACAGAAGGACAAGGCTGAGGGCAGGGCAGGTCCGGGTGGGGAAGATGGAGGAGGGGTGGGTCTGAGGAGTGGGGACGGTGGGGCAGAGGGGGTCCATGTCAGTTGGCCACCAGCTGCTCCCCGAGGCCCCTAGTAGTGCCTGTCCTCGCTGTTCCAGCGGGGCCTGGCCCAGCCCAGCCTCTGCTCCCCCAGTACTCACGCAAGGTGGATCCCCGCTTTGGGGCCTACGTTGCCTGTGCCCTGCTGGTGTTCTGCTTCATCTGCCTCATCCAGCTCCTTGTCTTCCCCCAGTGAGTGCCCTGCCCCTTTTCCTAAACACTGAGGAGACCCCGGCCCCTCAAGCCTGCAGCCCTGGCCAGGGACTGGGGCAGGGATGCTCAGAGATAACTAGCATTCTTCCGGTCCTGTCCCTCCCCAGCTCCACCCTGATGTTTGTGATCTACGCCAGTGTCTTCCTGCTGTTGCTGCTCACCGTGCTGATCTGTGCTGTGTACTCCTGTGGCTCTGTAGGCAGAGGGGTGTCCCTGGGCTCGGGGTGGGCAGGGAGCAGGAGCGGTGCCTCTGGCGCGGCCCTCCTTGAATGGCCTTCTTTCCTGGCTCACATGCCTTCCACCTTTTGGTCTGTTGCTATTCCAGCTATTCCCCAAGGCCCTGCAGCGTCTGTCCCGAAGCATCGTTCGCTCTCGGGCACACAGCACCGCAGTTGGCATCTTTTCAGTCCTGCTTGTATTCATCTCTGCCGTTGCCAATATGGTAAGGATCCAGTGGGAGTTCTGTCTTGGCTGTGCCAGGCCCTGCTGTGACACTGGGAATGCAGGGAGAGTAAAACATGTTTCCTGCTCTCAAGGTGCCTGCTGTTGGAGGGGGGCTAACTTGGTTCCCCCTCACTTCGCTCCCCACTTGTCATCCCTGAGAACTTGGCCCTCTGGTAGAAGGCCCCTGGGCATAACCCTTGCGACTCTTTCCTCCCTTGGTTACCCCGATACACACTGGCTTTTGCAGTTCACCTGTAACCACACACCTATACGGACCTGTGCAGCCCGGATGCTGAATTTAACTCCTGCTGACATCACCGCATGCCACCTGCAGCAGCTCAATTACTCTCTGGGCCCTGATGCTCCCCTGTGTGAGGGCGCCGCACCCACCTGCAGCTTCCCCGAGGTGTCCGAGCAGCGTTCCAGCCGAGGGAAACGTCCTGGCATAGTTCTGAGCCCCTCTATGCCAGGCCTGGTGATGGGCATGGGGGATGCAGGACTCCTCAGAGTCCTGAACTCCAAGGGCACCAGGGGCCCTGGTGTGGTATAGGCTGGAGGCAGGTGGTATTGGGATGTGAGAGTTGAAGTGGGGAATACAGGTCAGGCAGGGTGCACGGCTTTTCCTGCCCTGGGTGCTGTGGCCTCTGCCGTCTTCCAATGCTGCCTCTCTTCTCCGCAGTACTTCACTGGGAACATGTTGCTGAGTCTCCTGGCCACTTCTGTCTTTCTGCACATCAGCAGTATTGGCAAGCTGGCCATGATCTTCATCTTGGGGCTCATCTATCTGGTGCTGCTTTTGCTGGGTCCCCCAGCCACCATCTTTGACAATTATGACCTGCTGCTTGGTGTCCATGGCTTGTAAGTTTACTTTCAGCCCTTTCAATGCCCTGGGAGCCTCCAGCCTGGCTAGATCATGGAGAGCCTTGCTAGTGCCCAGGCCTGATACCCAGTGAATGCTGAACGGACCCCTGTGGAAGGGAGCGGACTGGGGAATTCCTGGCATGTCACCCCGAGTACTTACCCAAGGAAACACCAGTCCTGGGAAGTCCCTGTGTCTTTGGGCTAAACAGTGAAAAAGCTCCTCACATTGTGTCTAGCCCGCTGCTTTAGCCAGCTATACGTCATACAGCTGCTTGGTGGCAGAGCCCTTGAACTTCTGGCTCCTGCTAGAGGGCTGTGGCTGGGATACCACACTGGCTTTTCCTTCCCAAAGCCCCATCCTTTGTGGTATGTTGCCATAGCAGGTTGTGGTAGAAAGAGCCTCTGGAGTCTGCTGGGTTCAAACCCCTGCTCTGCTACTCGACAGTTGTGTAATCTTAGGTGAGTTTTCTGAGCCTCAGTTTCCTCATCTGTCAAAGGGCAAACCCACCTAGATCACAGGGTGGTGGTAAAGGTCATAACCACTAACATTTATGAAGATTTACCTCCTGCTAGACATGTGCTAAGCTTGCATATGCAAGATCTGATCTACGCATTATTTAGATCTGATCTCTGTTTTACTGATGAGGAAACAGGCTCAGAAAGTCAATTGTCCCTGGTCATACAGCTGCTAAGTAAGTGAGCCACCAACTGTAGAGTTTCTCTTAGCCTCTGCCAAATAAAGAGCTAACACAAGGCCCTGGCTCATGCATGCCCAGTGGTGTGGCTTGCCAGTGCAGTCTCCTCTCCATGCCTGTCCAGCCATTCGGCAAGCACTGACGACTTTCTCTCTGGTGTCTTCCTACCAGGACTTCTTCCAATGGGACCTTCAGTGGGCTAGACTGGTAAGTGGGGGCTCAGAAGCAGCAAGGGTGAGGCTGGTAGGGGCCTCCCTCAAACACCAGGCACAGCTTTGTTTATCATCAGCCCAGCTGTAGGGCGGGTGGCACTGAAACACATGACGCCTGTGATCCTGCTGGTGTTTGCCCTCGCGCTGTATCTGCACGCCCAGCAGGTGGAGTCGACTGCCCGCCTGGATTTCCTCTGGAAACTGCAGGTGACTTGCGGGGCCTTTAATGGACAGGACGGGCCATGGGAGCAGAGCCTAGTCAAGCCAGGGACACATCTCTTATGAGCCGAGGCCCAGGGTACCCTGAGCCCACTCTGGCCCCATGTTGCCGTAATGTCCATTCTGTGTCTCCTGCCCACCCTGTACCTGGGCAGTGGGTGATGGTTGTGGTGTTCACAGGCGACGGGGGAGAAGGAGGAGATGGAGGAGCTCCAGGCCTACAACCGGCGGCTGCTGCACAACATCCTGCCCAAGGACGTGGCTGCCCACTTCCTGGCCCGGGAGCGCCGGAATGATGAGCTCTACTACCAGTCTTGTGAGTGTGTGGCCGTCATGTTCGCCTCCATTGCCAACTTCTCTGAGTTCTATGTGGAGCTGGAGGCCAACAACGAGGGCGTTGAGTGCTTGCGGCTGCTCAACGAGATCATTGCTGACTTTGATGAGGTACTTGCCAGTTGGCTGGTGCTGGCGGGGGGTGGGGTGGGTGGGTATGAGGTAGTAGAGGGAACACTGGGTGTAAGGCCGCAGAGGGAGGGGCTGGCAGTGCTTGGAGAAGAGGAGATTTAATGGGATCTAGTGATGTCATGGGTACGGATTAGGTAGGGACAGTGGAAGCAGGGACAAGAGCCCAAGGTGTCGGAGGGAGCAAGGAGTCATTGTGGTGGGGCAGGGTCATCCTTACTAGGGAGAAAGAGGACACAAGAATCTGTGGGAGACAGGACAGGGACCAGGTGGACGTCTGGGAGGGGCAGCAGCACAGGAGACTCCTGGGCAAGGTCGTTCCCTGATAGAGCAAACGGAGGCCGAATGTGAGCAGCTGTCCTGGGCGTCCTGGCCAGGAATGAGCTCCTCACCGTGCTCCACTCCCAGCAAGTGAGGACTCAGCTGATGCTCAGAATCCTCTCTGCTGATCTGAGTGGGTGTCACAGTTGGCCTTCGGGTCCTGGCCAGCCCCTCTCTCCTGCACTCACAGCAGCTGGAAGTGGGCTCACCTGGGAAGAAGAGGGGAGGTGCTACAGCAGGGGAGGGAGGAAGCGAGCGAGGGCCTGGCAGGGAGGAGGCAGGCTCGCCGGGCACGGCTGGATTTGGCCACTTGGGCCTCAGCCAGACCCCTGCACTGCCCAGATTATCAGCGAGGAGCAGTTCCGGCAGCTGGAGAAGATCAAGACGATTGGTAGCACCTACATGGCAGCCTCGGGGCTGAACGCCAGCACCTACGATCAGGTGGGCCGCTCCCACGTTGCGGCCCTTGCGGACTACGCCATGCGGCTCATGGAGCAGATGAAGCACATCAATGAGCACTCCTTCAACAACTTCCAGATGAAGATCGGTGAGGCCTGGTTCCCGCAGGTCTTCTCCGGGCTGTGGGGTGGTGCTCAGTGCGCCAGCTGGGGTGGGGCCGCGGGCTCTCTTCCCTCTGCTGCAGTAGGTTGTGTCAGCCTGGGGAGCTCTGCAGCCCGCCGGCCAGGTCTTTGGGGGATGTCTTGCTACGTTTTTGGTTTGGTCTTCATCTGATATGTAGCCCCGGCTGACCCTGAATTTATGGCAGTCCTGCCTTGAGGCTCGAGGGTGGAGATTACAGGCGTACACCACCATGCCTGGCTTTTTTAAAATATGAGGTACTAGGGATTGGACCCAGAACCTTCACATTGAGCTACACTGTTACAGTTTTTAATTCTGAGTATAGTCTTGCTAACTCACTGAGGTGCCCAGGCGAACTGGACTTTGCGATCCTCCCGCCTGAACCTTCCGGCACGGGGTGAATGGCTTGTGCTGCCATACTCGTGCCAAGTCTTCTGTTTTTCACCACCAGGACATCAGTGCCTTTCCACGTTTCCCTCTGGGCCCTCTCAGATGCCAGGAGCAAGAAGGCCTCTAGGCTGGCCTTGGAGGATCCCCTAGCCTCCATCTCTTTCCTTTCTTCCACTTCAGGGCTGAACATGGGCCCAGTCGTGGCAGGTGTTATTGGAGCTCGGAAGCCACAGTATGACATCTGGGGGAACACAGTAAATGTCTCTAGTCGCATGGACAGCACAGGGGTCCCTGACCGGATACAGGTGAAGGGCTGAGGCCAGGCTGGGAGGGGGCTGGGTCCAGAGGGCCTCCACAAGTCTCTCTGCAGGACAGGGCGGTGGCAGTCTTTTGTGGTGGGTGGGCAGGGCTGGGGTGGTGTGGCAGCCTTCCTGGAGAGCCCTTGGGCTTATGCAAATGCAGCAGGAAGGCTCCAGGCTAAGCAGGCTCCCCTCCTCCTCCCCCAGGTGACCACGGACCTGTACCAGGTTTTAGCTGCCAAGGGCTACCAACTGGAGTGTCGAGGGGTGGTCAAGGTGAAGGGCAAGGGGGAGATGACCACCTATTTCCTCAATGGGGGCCCCAGCAGTTAGCAGGGCCCTGCTGCAGATTCCACTGAAGGGACCAAGGCGGGTGTTGAGTGTGCTCTGTGCTTGCTGGGTGGAGCTGGGCGGGGACCCTGAGCCTCCAGACCTTGCTGATCGTGGCCAGAGGGATGGAGCACCCAGGCCAGCTGCACCTCTGTGCAGACTGCCCTCAGCCTGGGAACAGGGACACCTAGAAGATTATCCAACTGACTTTTTAATTGGGGTAGGGCTGTTTCTTCTAGCTTTTGGGAGCAGTAGAGGAAGCAGCACAGACAGGGGAACCCTCAGGCCTGAGAGATTAAAAGGGCAGTTTGCTTGCTTACCTTTTCCCCATCTAGACTGACGCAGGGCTGGCTCTTTCCTTTCGGTTTCCTGGGAGCAGGCGCAGGGAGTGCCTGCTCCATACCTGCCTTTGCGTGCTGCATTCCCAGCACTAGTCTTGGGCCTGCTGGTCCTATGCAGGTCCCCCTCCTAGCACAGGGCAGCTGTTCTGAGGATCCGGCTGTACCCACATTTCAGGGGAATGTTTCCATTTGCCAAATCCTAGTCCTGGGATCCGTCCCCAAAGGGGAGCAGAAGGACCTGGGACAGTTCAGCTTTAGCCCCAGCTCCTGCACATTCCAGGGAGAGGGGTGTCTGGCCTCACTGGCACTGTGAGAAGGCCCAGCCAGAGCCAGCATGGTGTGGCTGTGGAGGGTCAGATGGCCAGAAGCTGGGCAGTCACCTACAGGTGCCAAAGAACGCAGGCAGCTGGGTCGGGCACGGTGCCAGGCTTGATCCGAGGCTCAGCTCTAGCTAGGATCAGCCTTCTCGGTCCCACGCTTGATCTGAGGCTCAGCTCTAGCTAGGATCAGCCTTCTCGGTCCCACGCTTGATCTGAGGCTCAGCTCTAGCTAGGATCAGCCTTCTCGGTCCCAGGCTTGATCTGAGGCTCAGCTCTAGCTAGGATCAGCCTTCTCGGTCCCAGGCTTGATCCGAGGCTCAGCTCTAGCTAGGATCGGACCTCTCGGTCCCAGCACTGCTTCCAGCAAGGGGTGTGAAGCATCTCTGCCCTTCTATTGCCAGATAGAAAAGGGTCAGGGCACAGTGGAAGACGACCTTGATCCTGAACCTGGCCTCCCGCGTCTCGGGCCCTGGGAAGGGCCTGTGTGTCTGTGTTACCGTGTGCATGTTACTCTTCTCTGTGCATCTCTGTTTCCAGGTCTGTGTATGTCCATGTGCTCCATGCGCTCCTGCTCCTCAGCCCCCCCACCCGGGTTGCCTCTCTCTGTTGGACCTCTGTCTTCTGGGAAGACAGAGTTTCCTATTTCAAGGGATGGAGGGAGACGCCCAGCTTGCGCACGAGTGGGATGGGGTACGGCACAAGCCAGTGGGCTGGGGAGAGGAGTCCTTTTTGTGCCAAATCTCTAAGTGCCATTTGGGGCCACGTGCACAGTGTTGACTGTCTCCCTGCCTCAGGGAGGGACCAAGTGCCTGCCTGAGCCTCAGTGCTCCATGCACTTGAACTGCCTGGGGTTTAGTGGGCAGAGGCTCAGGAACTTCCTGGGTCCCCAGCTTATGTCCTGGGGCTGGGTAGCATGGGACCCTTCTGAGGACTAGATACTGGTACTAGGGGATGGGGAAGGGGTTCTTAAACTAGGCTTTCCTGAGCCCTTAGCTTGAGTCTCGCATGTTCCTGGCTCCCAGTCCTCATGAGGCCTGAAAGGGCTGCTGGAAGCGTTAGGAAGTTGCACTCTAGATTCCCTTCCTGTCTTTACATTTCTTTTACCCCTTTCCCTGCAGCCTCCTCGACTCCGGCTTGAAGTGGCTGGTACCCTGGTTTCTGTCTATATGTATTTAACCCAGAGGGATTAGTCTTGAGTTTTGATTGAAAGTCACTCTGTCCTGTAAGTGTCTAGAGAAGCAGAGGAGAAAGGAGCTGGGAGCTGAAGGAACTGCCCCTGCCCCTCCTCACGCTCCTTCTGACATACCTGCTCCTCGCATAGGCCTGTTCTGGCGTGGTACTGCCTGCCTGGGGTTCTCCATGCATCAACCAAATGAACCGCCTGGTGCTTCATTAGCCAGAGCAGAGGTGGAAAAAAGCCCACTGCTGCAGACAGAAAACTGACCCCTTTACCATCCTGCCCTGTCCCTGGTCAGAAAGGGCTCCTCTGTGCCATGGTGAGGGAAGGAGGTGTGAGAGGTTGCGGTGGGAAGGCCCAGCCGTGGGTGGTCTGCTTCTTGCCAGCTGTGAGTGCCCTGTCACAGCCTGGCTCCCTGTACCACAGCACCATCATGCCTTTCCCCGGGTTACCACTGGTCCTTTCCTCAGCGGTTGTGGCGGAGTCGGGATAGGAGGCCATGGGCTTTGGTTTGATGATGTAACCACTGTGGGAGTGGGGGAGGGTGGTGTACCATGTATTTCAGTGAAATATTTAATATATTTAAATACCAATAAAATCAAATTCTTTGTAAAATTTCCTGCTCTCTGCAGCCATTCTGGGCCCTGGGTTAGGTCAGAAGTGACAAAGCCTGGTATAGAAATCACCTTCCTGCCCAGCCAGGGCTCTTTGGGCAACTCTCATCTGTGGCTCAAGGACTTCTTGTGGTTTTCTTTCTACCAAGGAGAAGACTCAGTGTCTACAGAGAGCGTGGTTGCGCTAGGCCTTTAGCATCGTGAAGACCTGGCTGTGTGTTCCCACACTTGCTTTTCTGACCCTTGTTATCCAAGAGCTAAGTAAAGCCCCTCTAGTTTTCCTGCCAGGGCCTTGGCCTCTCCAAACACCTCATGGCAAGATCCGGCCTCTTCAGGAATCTCACGCGCTTGCTGTCACTGCAGTCTGGGCAGTGGAGTATTTCCCTGTCTCCCGTCTCCCAGTGACAAAGTGACCTCCAGTCCAGTCTGTTCACTCTGCTTTCTTGACCGCCCCCCATTAGTAAGTCACACGAACTGGGGCACTTCTCCCTGTTGCCCAATTTGCTCTCCTCTCATGGTTCATCTCCATCTGCAGCCACATCATCCTCAGTACTGACTGAAGGTTCTGTCATTGAGAATGCAGTGATCCATAAACCTGGGAAAGAGACAGGGTCTCAGATTCAGCCGGTAAGGGGGAGAAGTATCCTTAAAAATATCCCCATGACTGTCTCACATCAGAACAGGCAGGATGAAGTAAGGCTGCGAATGGATGGTGGTGAGAGGGCTGGGCAGGTGGCAGTGAACGGAGAAGATACATCCCAGGCACACATAGGAATGCTGTAGATATCTGTGCCTGCTCGGAAGTCACACTGCACAAGGCAAAATGCAAAGGCAGACACAAACGCTTAACTCCATTGAGTGCTGCCGCTGCCCAGGTTCTGGAGCCAGGTCTTGTGATACCCGAACCTCCTACGCCCTAACTCTGAGCGGAGATGAACGCATCCAAGGGTTTCAGCGAGACTGCTCCCCTTGGCCTCCCTACCCAGACCCTTCCCACGCTACCTGGTCATTGGGCTTTTCATGAGACAGTGGCGTGGGCTTCGGATCCATGGCATGGTTTCCTCTGGATGCACTCCTGGATCATGGGACCGCCAGAAGCTGAAGTTCTGAGCATCAGTCAGAGGGACTCTGAAGACCTGATTGGGGACTGAACAGGTTTGGGCAAGGGCAGGTTATTTGAATTAAAGAGGCCTGAGCAGGTATTGAGAGTCCTGGGAATGTGGTCACAACTGCTTCATTTCTGGATTCCAGTATCTTACATCCTTCGGAGTTGAATGAATTGGCCTTGAGTATTCCTAGTGCTCGAGAGCTTCCCCAGGTGCTAAAACATCAGACAAACAGTGGCCAACTGGCATAGAAAGGGCACAAGATGGGGGTCTACCAATTCATTTCTTTTCCATTTTTCTGGTCTTCATCATTCTCATTCCTTGCTTTCCTCTCTGAAATAATGCTGTCCTTCGCTCATTCCAGACAAATCCCTGAAAGTTACTAACTTTTTTTTTTTTTTGAGACAGGGTCTCACTGTGTCACATAGGGTGATCTTGAACTCATGGCAGTCCTCCTGCCTCAGCCTCACATGTGCTGGGATTACAGGTATGACTAGCTTTCTCTTTTTTTTTTTCTTGGCGGAACCAGGGATTGAACTCAGGCCCTTGTGCTTGCCAGGGAAGCACTTATTCCACTGAGCCATCTCCCTGGCCCCTAGCTTTCTCTTTTTGAGACAGGGATCACTATGCAGTTCAGGCTGGTCTTGAATTTACAGTGTAGCCACGATCCTTCTGCCTCAGCACTCCCCTTTCCAACCCTCTAAAATGTTTGGATTACAGGGAAGTACCACCACACTCAGGGTTACCAGCTTTTTAAAGAAAAAATGTTTTAGGGGCCAAAGGTGTAGTTTGATGGTGGAGTGCTTGCCTACCATGTAAAGGCCCTGGGTTCAAGTCCTCCTCTCCCTTCACATACACATACTCTAACTATTTATCTGTTTTTGAGATGGGTCATGCCATGTAGTACAGGCTGGCCTTGAACTTGCTTATGTGGCCTAGGCTGGTCTCCAACTCAAAATGATCCTCCTGCCTCAGTCTCCCGAGTGCTGGGATTACAGGTCTGTGCCACCACATATATATTCTTAATACTTAGAATTATGGCTTACCAGGCCCAGTGGTCCACACCTTGTGATCCTATGGGTGCTGTAGCATGCACCTGTAATCCCAGAACTCAAAAGACTGACATGGGAGAATCGCTATGACTTCAAGGCCAGCTTGCGCTACATAAATGTATGTATGTATGTATGTATGTATGTATGTATTTATTTTTGCAGAACCAGGGATTGAACTCAGGCCCTTGTACTTGCCAGGCAAGCGCTTATTCTACTGAACTATCTCCCTGGCCCTCTACATAAATGTTTTTAAGGCCAACCTGTACCACACAGTGACACTCTGTCACAAAACAAAGCTAGAAACACCCCATCTATACTCCTAGTACTTTGGTGGCTAAATCGCATTGTAATCCAAGGCCAGACTGAACTCCTATGTAGTCCAGCCCTGTCTCAAAACAAAGCTGCTGGGGAGGCCAAGGTGGGGGACTGAAAGTTTGAGTCCAGCCTGTGAAAGTCAGTGAGTTAGCAAGAACTGTCTCAAAACTATAAAAAAGAGGGGCCAGGGAGATGGCTCAGTGAAAAGGTCCTGGGTTTAATCCCTAGTCCTGGAAAAAAAAAAGTTTTACTGTTGAGAGGCTGAGCCAGGAAAATAGCAAGTTTGAGATTAGTCTGAGCAACTCAGTGAGACCCTGTCTCACACCTGAAAGGGTGTGGGTGTGCTTCCGTGGGAGAGTTCTTGCCTACCCTGCACAAAGGCACGAGGATATATGCTCAGCACTGAAAAATAAAAGTATTAGAAATAACTGTCAGATACCCTCTTCTTATGTATGCCTGTTTGGGCTTCTAAAGTTGTTGTTTTTTAAATTAAATATGAAGACATTCATAGACAGTTGTGAGAATTACTACTGGAAGAGCCCGGTTGCCACCCCCTTCACACGAAGGTAGGAGCCTCCGAAACCGTCGTGCACTGCCTCAGTCATGGTGCTGGTGTTGAGACAGGGCAGCTCTGTACCCCGATCTTGGCTTGTCTTCCCATAGCCTTTGGTAAGCAATGATCTGCTCTTCACTTTTATAAATTTGTTAATTTCAGAGTGTCATATAAGTAACACAGATGGTGGTCTTTTGGGGATGGGCTTTCGTTACTTGGTTTCCTTATGCAGAGTTTTGCTATGCAGCTCAGCTGGCTTCAACTTGTGGCCCACCTGTGGCAGCCTCCCGTGTGGGGACTGCAGGTGCGCGGCATGCCTGGCTGGGAACAGCTTCCTCCCCAGGCGCCACCCCGGAGAGTCCTGGGGTGCACTGCAAGAACCAGGGTTTTTCCTACGTGTTTCTTCCTAACAACGCTAACAAGTGTTACTCCATTTTTCAGAGGGTTCGAAGAGGGACTTGCCTTCTTTGTCACTACAGGATCTTGTCCAAGGTCATATTATTTGTTTAGAGTTTAACCTCAGATGAGTCAAATTGCAAATCTAGTTTTTGTCCTACCATTTCTCATGTGTAATATGTGCTAACACACAAACTACTCCCCTAAACTGCTTTAGTTTTGGTATGATCCTCACAGTTCTTTAGTAGAGCAGTAGAGCAGGCATTTTCTCTTTCTTTCTTTCTTTTTTTCTTTTTTTTTTTTTTTTTTTTGGTAGGGGGACTCAAATTACAACCTTACCATGTGAGGCAGGCCCTTTGCCAGTGAGCTATCTCCCTAGTCTCAAAGACACTTAATTTTTTTTTTTTTTTTTTTTTTTTGGTCTTTTTGAGACAGGGTCTCACTGTGCAGTTCAGGCTGGCCTTGAATTCACTTTGTAACACAACATGGCCTTGAACTTTCAGTGATTCTCCTGCCTCATCCTCCCAAGTGCTGGAATTACAGGCATATGCCACCATCCCTTGGTTTCACTTTCTATTTTGTTTAAAACGAATGAGGAAGGAGCTGGGGAGATAGCTCAGTTGAATAAGTGCTTGGGCATAAGTTCAATTCCCAGCTCCGCAAAAAAACATGAATGAGGAGGGTGTGGTGTGGTGACTGGCACCTAAGACCCCAGAACTCAAAAAGTTGAGGCAGGAGAACCACTGTAAGTTCAAGACTAACCTAGGCTACATAGCAAGACTCTTTCAAAAAAAACTAAAATATTTTTTAAAATAAAAATAAAGTTCTAGACATGGTGGTGAACACCTATAATCCCAGCACTTGGAAGGCTGAGGCAAGAGGCTTGCCACGAATTTGAGGGCAGCCTGGGTTGCATAGTGAGACTTTGCCTCAAAACAAAAATAAAAGCAAACACCCAAACATGCTCGTTCACCATTCAAGCCTACTTTCTCTTACTTCTGTGTCTTTCTCTTGGCTCCCCCACACCTGTGGTCCGTGGTCTCAGGCATTCACTGGAAACACAGTTGTGTCTCTCACTTACATGTCTTTAACAACACCTTCTGTACAGCCTCATGGTACCTCACGTGGCTGTTCTGGTGCACGCAATAGTTCCCATGTCCCAAGGCGATGGGGGGCAGCCTGGTGGGCACCAGCTCCTTCTGACCTGAAATGAGGACAGTTATTCTGAGTATGGCAGGCAGGGCTCTCTGATTTTCTGATTTGCTCAACCCCACACCAACTAGCTGCATCTGCATGGCAAGGTTCCCTCCTTGCCACTTGCATCTAATTTTCAGGATGTCAGAGGTTGAATTACATGGCTGTGACAGAGGGAGGAAGGGCAGGAGGCCTCCCCATCAACTTCCCTGCTCTTCTTTGACTGGCCAGTTTTGGGCAGCCTCTGCCTGGACTCAGGGCTAGTGTAGGTGACATTGCTTTCCTGAGATGGACGTGTTCATAGAATTTCCAGTGGTCTAAAAGGAAAGGCTACATTTGAGCTTGGTCTTGGACGATGAGCTGGAGCCCATGAGCCACAGAAGTGGCAGGGTGACTGTTTTTGAGGCAGCAGGATAGAGTTAGAGGCAGTAATTTCATAATTTTGAACATGAGTGGATGAATCTGAGAAAAAATTAAGATGGCAAAGAGCAAGATTCGATAGAGTGATAAAAAGAGGAACAGGAGCCTTGGGTGCTTTCATGATTTCTGCCTCCTGGCTGTCCATCCATCTCATCCTGTGAACCAAAAGAGGATTAAACGCCTTGCCTTGTTCCTCTAGCCGGGCTCTGTTGCCCCATGAAAACCAGCTCTGCGTCTGATGTTTCAGTGCCTGCTGTTTTCGTGAAGCAGTGACTCTTTCCCACGTGTCCAGATTTTTAATCTTGTTTGCTTATGCTTGTTAGGAACCAGATCAGCGTCTGCTGTTCTCCTTGGGAAGTGCTGATTCACCTGAGAGGTGGGGACGCTGCTTCTGCTTCCAGAGCTCTTCCCAGCTCCTTTGACCCCTTCCTTCGGGCTTGGCCCCACTCACTCAGCTTTGTCCTCTTTCTCTTCCTTGCTGATTCCAAGCAAAGTCTCCTTTAACACTCTCAGTGGAGCAGGGCACATTTGAACCTGCTCCCTGGACAGCTGAGCACTTAGACAGGTAGCCGTCCTGAAAGCTTGGTTTGAGTACAAGCTCAATCTGGACCTGGACTGAGCCCGAGGACTGGGTGGTACTTCGCCACAGATCACAGCAACAAGGGGCCATTTCCTGGAAGCAGCAGCACTTAAGGCTGAGTGTGCAACTTTGGGCAGAATGTCCATAGACAAGCAGCTGCAGATTGAGGGGGAAGAACAGAAAGCCTATTCCTAGTGGGCAGTGAGGCCTGGGCTGACAGTAGTTGTGGGTCTGAGCTCAGGTCATACAGCTGTCTGGTCCTGAGGCCCCCAGTAGGCTTAGCTTAAGGTCCTTTATTACCTCTAGTGTCCAAGCAGCATGCTCCCAGCTCCTCACATGGATGTGTACCTGGAGGTGGGCTGGACAGCATCACCCACTTCCTCTTTTACTTGACCTATACCTTGTTCTTACTTTTGGCAGGGTGGGTGATATTCCCAGTAACTCATGGCTTTCCTAAGCAGCCAAGGTTTGGAAGGCACCTGGGATAACAGGTGGCAGGGATGGGTAATAATTATGCCTGCCGCAACTCTTGTGGGGTGTCCAAGGTAGAAGATGCAATATGCTATTCAAAAGCAAACTCCTGTGGCAGAGAACCTAAGTTCTCTGAAGTCAGCCAGCTTGTTGGCAGGTAGAACCACCAGTCCTTTGCCTAACCCCTAGCAGCCCACGGTGACCTTTGCTGGTAAACAGATAGGAAGTGCCCTGAACAGCTTCTAAAACTGGGCCATAAATTAGGAGTTGCCATATAACTACATTTAATGTGTCAGTGCACTACAGGGGCTGTCTGGGATAGTGTGACAATAGTGGAATTGATCTTTTGCCCATCCAAACTGATGGTACAAACCTTCGTACTATAGACCTCCCTGTGACCCCTGAGCGACCACAGAATCCTAACTACCCACTGCTTAGCTCAGTGGCTCTGCTGGAACTGAACATGCTTCGTTTCAGTGTTTTTGGGTTGAGCATTTTTGGAATGGATCTATCTCAATAACTCCCAGAAGTCTTCTAGATTGAAGTTTGAGTCGAGATGATTGGGACATGGCGGTGGTAATGCCCAGCACACAGTACTGCAGTTGTTGGAGCTGCCGCTGCTATGTGGAGAGTGACTCTACCCTGACTAGAAATTCATGCAAAGTCATCCTGAGAGAAAATGTTATGCTATGTATTTTTTTTCTCTCTCTTCTTGAGACAGGGTCTCACTATGCCACTCAGGCTGGCCTTGAGCTCACTTTGTAGCCCAGGCTGTTCTCCAACTCACAACCATCATGCCTCAGCCTCCTGAGTGCTGAGATTGCAGGCACGTGCCACAATGCTTGGATTATGGTATGTATTTTAAAAATGACTCCTGTCTAGGGGGTCCTGTTCAATGCTGGGCATTCGTCCTCCCCTGAGGCTAGCTAGAGCTAAGATGCACTGGAACTGGCCGAGGTGTGTTGGGAGGGACACCTTGCACTGTCTCCCCGATGGGATTATCAGCACTTTGGTCACATGATTTTTTTCCTCCCCCATCCTGGTAACTGCACTCAGGCCCTTGAGCTGCACTTGCCAGCCAGGTGCTTATGCTGCTGAGCTTTATCCCCAGCCTTTTCAGTGCTTGGAAGTAGACAGAAGCACAAGTCCAGGAAACCAGACCGATCCCCAGGGCATGTTTTCCATTTGGGAACACTTCCTTTGCCTCTGTGTCCGAAAATAGTCTTTTCGGTGGTGTGCTTGGTCAGAATCTCGAATAGAGGGAGTAGGTAAGGCATGACACAGGGAGTCACACAGGGAATACAGGGAGTAGGCAAGGCATGACACAGGGAGTCACACAGGGAATACAGGGAGTAGGCAAGGCATGACACAGGGAGTCACACAGGAAATACAGGGAGTAGGCATGACACAGGGAGTCACACAGGGAATACAGGGAGTAGGTAAGGCATGACACAGGGAGTCACACAGAATACAGGGAGTA